TTTTGGATAAGGGAAATAGAAGTATAATGTTGTAGGAAAGTTGTTAGGTTATGTTATAGAGATAAAGATTGTGGGACCCACACTTGTTTTGATTTTTTATTTTTGAAAACACATGTGGGCCCCACATTTCCTATCTCTATAACATAACCATAAAATTTTCCTACAACATTATTCTTCTTATTCCCTTTGGATAATTTACATATCTTTATATATACTTTAAAAAAAAAACTATTCTCAGATTGGAATGTGATATTGCTAAATGATAGACAAGTTAGTTACTTCATATTTTATATAAAAAAAAATACAGGAAAAGCTTATTTTGAGACGTATTTAAATTACACTATTTTTCTTTTATTTTTAAAACTGATATTATTTTCTTACGGGAGATTAACACGTGCTATATGTTAATTTATTTTAATATGAATAAACAATTTAAGTATAATTTTTATTTCTACGTAACTCTCGGCATTTTTTATAATTAATTTTGAATTCTTATTGTTGACTATGAAATCAATATTTTGAATGAAGTTTCAAAACCGATAAGAGTGTTTAAACTTCATGATAATAGTGAGAGTATTCAAAAATTTATTTCGTTTTGCAGCTGTATTAAATTTTGACGGTGGAGGACTTTGCCGCGGGATCTGTCCAGCTCAAATTGAATTAGTTGAATAATTCATGAATTGAGAGATAATATTAAAAAAGTATTTCATTTTCTAAAATCATAAAATCAATAATTGGTTCATATCCAAAAAGAAGAAGAATAAAAGTTAGTTGTTGGTAATGGTAAAAGTTGTAGAGAGAGGTTGGTTCATAATTTTTCATCACCACTAACAGATTCATGTACATTAAAATAAGGGTTTTATAATTCCCAAGGCTAGCTCAGTTGGCAGCTGAGCTTTCAAGGAATTGCTTGGTGCAGGGATCAATCCCTGCCTCAAGCAGTTTCTTGGAAAATCTTCGAGGGCCAGAGGATAAGTCAAAAATCTTCGGTTGGGGATTAGTCTCGTCTTTTTTCCAGCTGCGAAGCTTAGTGCACCCACTGTTACAATGAGGGGCTAGCCCAAACTGGCCATACCTCGAGGGCATGGTGCCCGGAGAAGGTTGAATGGGGATACCTCCTGGCAATGTACCAAAAAAAATAAAAAAAATAAGGGTTTTATAAAAGTTATGATGTAGGAAAAATAATTGTGTTATGTTATATAGATTTGTTTTCTGTGCTTTAGTTTTTTTTTTTGCTTAAAAAAATTCGGGCCCCACAAAATATTGTGTGTAGGAAAAGTGATTGTATCATGTTACATGATGAATATAAATCCCTTAAAATAAAGGGGAAATTATTTGTTGATGTTAATTATGTCTTTTTAGTTTTTTTACTCTATGTACTTTTAATAGTACATAGTTATAATATGAAAAATTATTTTTTTTTCTCTCCTAAGTCATATTAGCCGACGTATAAACTGAAAAAAAAATTCATGTTATAACTATGTATTACCAAGAGTACATAGAGTGAAAAATTAAAAAGACACAACTTATATCCTTTAAAATGATACACACTTGTTATCAAAAAAAAAAAAAAATGATACACACTAAACCCTAAAATAAATTAAAGTTTATCCTATTTTATCTCTTATGAGGAAAAATTATATTTTTTCTGAAAATATATTATGATAACTATTATACACTTGTTTTATATTAAGTGAATTGTGTGTAGAAATTTAATTATTATAAAATAATAAAATTTATTTTTTCTCATTCAAATATAAGGTGTATTAACTATTAAGTTTTATATATTATAAAAAACAAATTTTAAAATTGTAGCCAATGATTAATTATACTTTTCTGTTGATATTGTGAATAAAAAATCAAATAAATATTATTTTAGTTTTTTTTTTAGATATTTTTATCTGTTTATTGTTTAGCGATTAGTCCAATTTGTAATAGATCCCATGATTTAAGCTTTAAATTCCTTCCAAATATAATACTTACGAGGATCGAACACATACTTTTACTTTCACGTGTTTAGTTCTTCTACGCCAATTAAACTATCTTTTATTTTTATAATATTATTTTAGTTATTGCTCGGATTGATAACGTGGTTTAATGGGCAGATTGACAAGGTGCCTCGACCAAGCAGATTAACATGCATAATATGATGTGGCATGACAGCGAATTTGCCTCCCCGCAAATCTGTATAAAATTTGTATGGTTCTATACCTAACAAATCTTCTCACGCGCCCTATTTCACTAGAATAGGGGTTCATGGGTTTCAAAAAACTTATGAATCTCACATGAGAGTTTTATAAGTTCACACCACCTCGATATTCAATAAGAAATGAAAAAGAATTCATCGACCAACTCAAGGTTCTGAAAGCCTCACCGAAGCTAGACCAGATATACTCTATCCACTATCCAGAGTTTAACATAGAACGATACTCAACATTAACTTAATTATTATTTTTATTTATAAATATTAAGTTAGTGTTTTAATAATAATAATAAAAATTTCACGATGCTGATTTTTTGAAAGATACTTAGAGCCTGTTTGAATTCTCTCTTTCTTAAACTATAAGCTACTTATAAGCTAAAGCTAAAGCTAAAAAAAGAGTTTAAAAAAAAAGTTAAAAGTTGTTTGGTAATCACATAAAAAATTTAGTTTAAAAGTTATTTAAAAGTACATATTTCAAAAAAATTATTTTCTCTCTATCTTTATAACTTCATTAAAAAAAAACACAATTCAAGAAAATCAAATAAGAGCTTTTAGCTTTCATTTTTTTTCTTTATTTTAAAAAAAATAGCTTTTTATTGTAAGAGCTTTTCCCAAAATCTGTTGGGCCTAAATTATGCTTATAAGTAACTTCTAGCTTAAAAAAGAGAAAATTCAAACTGTCACTTAATCTATACAATACATACATACTGTAATATATGGTTATTAACACATATTGCAATTAGGGGTGTTAAAAGAGTTAGGGGCCTTTGACCTGACATGTTCTGTTTATTTTGATTGTTGGATATAAATTTGGACTCATATAAAAGCTCATTAAATAAAAATGCCTCAAATTTCAATTCAAAACTCTCTCATTATAGATTTATAGCCTACCAGGTTAGCCTGGTATAATTATTTTTATTTTATATTTTTTCTATTACTCATTTATTAAAGTCAATATAATTTTTTTTTTTTTTTCGTGATCCATCATCATTTTACTTTCTCTCCCTTACTTCACTTTATCTCTTCTCTACATCGTCGGAGTTCACACCATATCAACACAATCGTAGTTGAGGATAAAGGCTCACTGAAGGAAGAGTCATTGATGCTTATCGAAAAAGTTTGGGCAGAAATACGGTTCAAGCATTAATTTGCAATTTAGATTAGTTACGTAATATGCATGACATAAAGAAATTTATGAATTTTTATAAAATTATTAGTGTTGTTGATAAGATATTCTGTTTAAATAAATTTTTATTATCTTATTTTTCTAACAAACTAAGCTAAATTTTTATTTATTTTAAATAAATCAAGTGACGATGAATAATTATATTTATAACAAATTATAGATATCGTAAATGTGAATATGTGATACATTTAAACACACATGCTTAAAACAAAGCCCAAACACCCCTAATTGCAACCGTCAACAAAGCAAAGTAGTCAAAATATTTTAAAGTTATCCATGTCAGATTCTTTCATTCATGAAACAAGAAGACCAATTCTTTTGTATCAGGCCTCATAAAGTGAAACGGTTATCTTCTTTACACGAAAGATTCCTTTCACTATATTCCATTGTATTTTGCCTTCGCCTTTCTTTCTCTTTCGTTAATTTTTTTCTCTCGATAATCTACCACTCTCCATAGTTTTGGTGTAGTCTGTATTGACTCTTTTTGTATAAATAACATTTCTCAAAAGTGAAATGGAAATTGGAAACATACATAGTTAAAGCTTTTCTTCTTCAACTAAATTAACTGAAGTGTTCCCATTCAAATTACAAAGCACCCAACCCCACTTTCTGTAAAAGGCTGAGTCCCTCACCCACCTGCACAGCACACAGCATCTGGCTCTGCTAGAAAAGGGTACAAAACAAGCTTCTGAAACCCAAAAGTTCCTCTCTTTAAACTTCTCTACTCACTCGTCAAAGCCTCAAAGGGACACACACTTGACACTTGTTTAGTCCTTACCTGTCTCAACTAATGGCGTGTTTATTAGTTATTACCCCCTCGCATTTATGACATTTTACTTCTTTACCATTTTCGCCTTCTACTTCTCTATCTCCCCTACCATACCAAGTACCAACGCCTTTGTTTCAAAGTTGGGTTTTTTCAACAACCCATTTACTACGCTACCCGATTCAAGGGGTTTTTTCTTTGTCAGTTTCCAAGATTTTGCTTGTTTCCATTTGCTGAGTTGTGTTTTTTTTTTCTTACTTTGTCGTTTCGTATCGTTTGTTTCCATGTCCAAATATTTTTATATATTAAAATTTGAACTTAAGATTCTCTCTTTCTTACCCCGTCCATTTTTCATTCTAGTACTGACGGTGTAGAAACAGTACATGTTGCTGTAGAGGTAAGAACCAACCTTAATGACGTAATGGCATTGTTTTTGTTTCCTGTCGGATCAAAGGTACTTCGTTTGTTTTTCCTATTCTTATGTTTGTTCAATTTGTGATGCTTATTTCCCGCTAGAATGGTCTTGCAAAACTCACAATGAGAAAGGAGCTGGCTTTTTTATCCCCATTTTATCATCTTTAGTGTTTTTTATTTCATTACCCTCAAAATTTCATCTTTATGCTTTTTTCTGAATGGACTAAATGATTGCTTTTTTATGCTTATCTTCCGGAATATGGTGGTTTACTACTTTACTGGGTTGTGTGATCCCCCTCTCCTCTTTTTTTCTGTGCCAAATGTGTTTTTTTTCCTGGTTTTTCCTTTGGATGTGTTTGATGTTTTCTTTCTCTTTTAGGTTGGTTTGCACTGTTTGTAGTGGGTTCTGACTATATAAGAGTAAGACAGTAATGGATGGGCGGAGGCATTCTGTGGATATTCCTATTTCTAAAACTCTTGTAGCACTGAGGAGAGTCAGGTCATTGAGGGATCCATCAACTAATGGTATTAGCAAACTCTCTCCTTTGATTGATAATGGACATTGGGAAAATGGTTCGGGTAATGCCATTTCTCTGAGGTTCCTGAGTTCTTCTGATGCATGTGATGCTGAAGATGATGGATTTTTAAGATCAGATAATTTCAGTTTTAAGGGGAGAAGAGAGCAGGGTACTGCTGATTTTGAATTGGATTGTCGTCTGTTGAACTCTAAGATGAACTATGGTGAACTAGTTAACTCTATTCCCGAGCAGCAAGGCATTTCTGGAAATAAATCACCAAGTGAAAGCTGTTGTAGCAACCATGGGGAAATAGGACTAGATTTGGCTTCCATCTTGCCTCCTAGTAGTCATTTGAAGAATGGGGAATCATGCTATTTATCAAATGCCTTATCGAAATTAGGGAGAACAGATCACTCAAAGTCAACCAGAAATTCACTACGCAAGAATCAAGTGAAACCGTCTGAAGTAATGGATGATATTGCAAGCCATGTAAGGAGTCCATGCCTTTCTGTTCGTGATGCTTTCTCAGCACATGTGACTCAAGATGTTGATGTTCTAGATAATCACCATGGATGTGGAATAAGCTGTTGTTGGTCAAAGTCACCGAAGTTTAGAGAATCAAATCATTATTCTGAAGCAGAAGACCTTCCTTTGATATTGCAGCACGTTAATGAGACAGATTTTCATGGACATGGAAGCATGAGAAACATTGGTGGTGAAATTAGTCCAACTTTGGAAACTCCTAGAAGTTTATCCTTGAAATTCAGGCCAAAATCTTTCTGTGATTTGGTGGGACAAAACATGGTAGGAAGGTCTCTTTTGGGTGCCATCTCTAGAGGAAGGATAACATCATTTTATCTCTTCCATGGTCCCCGCGGTACAGGAAAAACCTCTGCGTCCAGGATATTTGCTGCTGCACTGAATTGCCTCACCCTTGAGGAGCAAAGGCCATGTGGTGTATGTAGAGAATGTGTTTTGTTCTTTTCTGGAAGAAGTAAAGATGTTAAGGAAGTGGATTCTTTGAGAATCAATCGTGCAGACAAGGTTAAATCCCTTGTTAAGAATGCATGCCTCCCTCCAGCTTCCTCATGTTTTAAGGTGTACATTATTGATGAGTGCCAATTATTGCATGGTGAAACATGGGCGAGTCTTTTGAATAGCCTAGAGAATGTTTCTCAACATGTGGTTTTTGTGATGATCACTCCTGATCTAGATAAGCTTCCTCGAAGTGCAGTTTCCCGGGCTCAGAGGTATCACTTTGTGAAGATCAAAGATGCTGACATTGCAAGCAGATTAGAAAAAATTTGTGCTGAAGAAGGTCTTTATTTTGAACAATGTGCACTGAACTTTATTGCTGCTAAATCCTGTGGTTCTCTTAGGGATGCAGAAATGATGCTTGATCAGCTGAGTTTGCTTGGTAAAAAAATCACAATTTCCGTAGTCCACGAGCTTGTAAGTTTTCTTGTGCTTTGTTTTGTACATATATATGTGCTCGAGAACTGTCTTCATTATCTTTGTTGTTCTGCAGACTGGGGTCGTTTCTGATGATGAATTACTTGATTTGCTGGACTTGGCTCTGTCATCTGACATATCAAATACAATTATAAGAGCCCGGGAGCTGTTGAGGTCAAGGATAGATCCTTTACAACTTATATCACAGCTGGCAAATCTTATTATGGACATTGTTGCAGGGAAATGTGAACTTGGTGGTTCTAAAATCAGAAAATTTTATGGTAAAAAAACCAGTAAGTGCTTTAAAGTATAATATATCACATCCTTTTTTAGATTTTAGATTTTTATTGCAGTCCATGCTTGTATTTCACCTTGCAAACACCATTCTTCTCTTATCACAGCAGAAGCGGACCTGCAGAAATTAAGTCGTGCATTAAGAATACTTTCTGAGACAGAGAAGCAGTTGAGAATTTCGAAGAATCAAAATACATGGTTCACTGCAGCTCTTCTACAGTTAAGTTCAGTAGAACATTCATCTGTGGATATAAATGATACCAAGTTGTGTATGAAAGCTGCTTCCGATAAAGGTATGTTTGGCTTTTTTCTCTACTTGTTTCTTCCTTTGACGTGTCTGTGGGTTGGAGTTGACAGAATTGGAGTGGTTTGACGATGTTGAAACTTCTATTCTAAACTTGTCTTTAGTTGGGTACAGATGGTGATTTCTGCAGTACATCTTCTACAGAGAGCTTGAAGCATCTTGCTACATGTCAGAGTGATGACAAGTCCTATAGATTAGGAGTGCAAGAAGATCACAAGGGCACATTAGATTCCATATGGTATAAAGCTACAGAGATATGTCAATCTAATAGGCTCAAAACTTTTCTTAGGAAGCATGGAAAGTTGTCTTCAATTTGTTTCAATCAAGGTACATTTTATATTTTTATTTATGGGATTAATGTTTCTCGTGTTGTAAAAGATAATTTTATCTACTACATATATAAAAATGTGTCCGGTCTATTTTTTTTTATCTTCTCTTTACATTGGCCCACATGCCCCCACACATTTTTGTGTACATGAGAAACATTAATCCTTGTATTTATACCCTATTTTTTTCCAGCACTAAATTTCCATTGATCAAATTTTCTTACATCATTGTGAATTACATATTGCACAGAAAAATAAAATTATTCTTTTATATATATTTATGAAGGGAAATAATTATCTCATGATGTTACATGAGATAATTATCTCACGCAATAGAGACAAAGTAGTGAGGTCCACTATTTTTCTTTTTTAAAAAATAGTGGACCCCACACTATCTTGTCTCTATTGCATGAGATGATTATATGATGTAATATGAGATAAATAATAGATCCCATTTCTGAAATGTATCTTCCCTAATATAGTGAGTACTGAGTACCAAGTAATTGAATGGAGAATCGTCAAATGTTCAGGTCTTGCAGTTGCTGAGTTGGAGTTCCACCATCGTGACTATGTAGCTAGGGCTGAGAAATCATGGAAACTGATTGCAAGTAGCCTACAGTTCATATTGGGTTGTAACATTGAGCTCAGGATCAGTTATGTACCTCGTACATCGGATTCTAAGTATGCTAAATTGAAGAGGTCATCTTTTAATTTCTTTAGTTGTTCCCGCAGAATTCTACGGAAGTCCTTATCATCCACTAAACAAGGTAGTGAATCAGATTATACTGATTACACATCCCAAAAGCCCATCATGAAGGATCAAACTCTAACTTGTTACTCTGATTGTGGATCTCGGGTGCCACCACTTGAGTCCTACCATGGAATGGAGGTTGTAACAACTTTGAGAAGTTGTGAAGGGAATTTGTTAAGATCAGGGAAGAGGGAAGTTGTTACTCCAAGGATTTCATGTTCTAGAGTTGATTTTCTCAAGGAGGAGGGATGCAATTATGATCATCTAGCTTCATCAACCCTTGATTTAGATAATCTGTCTAAGTGTTTTCCTCGAACACTCTGGCTTCATAAAAATTAAAAAGGTCTGTTCTTCATATGCATCATAACAGAAGGATTTTGTTTATGGTTCCCCCCAGATGTTCTGAGACTTGTAACTATAATTAATGAACCCTTCGCTTTTGCATTTTGGTCATTATCTTTATGTTATATTGTGCATCCTAGATTCTTAGTGTTAGGCTGTAATCTTTGCGAACTTAATAGCGCCAGTGCCACTGTTTTATTTGCTAATATTTTTAACAATAAAGTTATACAGGATCTATGTTGCACCGACACACGACACGAGATACGATACGACACGACATTTCGACCTGTTAATTTAAAAAAATGTTAAATTCTGATACGTTAGAACACGTTTTGATATTATATAATATTTTTAATTTATGTAATGTATATTATATTTAGTATTCAATAATTTAACAAAAAAATAAAGCTAAACTTATAATACTCATCAATTTTGCAAAGAAACATAATATATCCCAAATGTTTATATTAAACTCAATAAAATCGTAATTGTAATATAACGAATCTAATAGTTAAAACTCAAAATGCAACTCAACGTAACCTTTGAATCTTTTTTGAGTCTTTGCAATGAGTATTGGAGTGTCGGGGAGTGTCGGATACGACACGTCAGAATTTTTGAAGTGTCGGTGCTTCATAGTACATTATTACCTAGGATAATTTGATATAACATAATAAGCTGAAATCTACGCTCAATTCGATTCGATCTCGTACATTCTTTTTCTTTAAAATTCAAACTATTTTTGTATTATTGTAAAAATATGGATGACTTAAACTATATTACCGCCGTTAAATCATGTTACCGTTAGTAGTAACGGTACAATTATGGATAACGTTACTGTTGGCAGTAACAGTGTAACTATCTCTTATTCATGATTATGTAACCACCGCACTAATGGATCCTTACTCCCTTATTCATGGTTGTAATCTTATATATTTACATTGTTTGTCTTAGATTATATAGCTGAATGAGAACTATATTTCTGCCCTACTTCTTGCTGTCTCCCCTCTTCCATTTCTCCTTTTATTTTATGGGTTTTATAAGAGTTATGTTGTAGGAAAAGTGATTGTGTAATGTTATAGAGATTCGTTTTGCGTGCCTTAATTTTTTATTTATTTTTTTGTTTTAAAAAGTGTGAACCCCACAAAATATTGTGAGTGTAGAAAAATTTATTGTGTTATGTTAAAGGATAAAATGAAAACCCTTATTTTATAATACGTTATCAGGAACGATAGTCTTTTCCATACCAAAGAGATATTTTATTTTATTTTAGCAATTAAAGTTTCCATTTTTTTTAATCGAAAGCCACAGATCACAGACATCATAAAAAAAAAATCATCGAAAAAGATGAGAGAGAATGTTTTTCATCAACCTCCGAAGATAACTATCGATCGTCTCTTTTGGATCTTGTGAGGGCCAAACCACTGAATCGTGGTCGTCATCAGACCCAAACCTGCACCTGGTTGCCGGGTCTCGATTATGGGTCGAATCACATGGAGTTCCAAGCTCCGTTCCCAAATCAGGTCCATGATCTCTTATTAATTGTATTTCTCTTATCAACTTCATTTCTTTGATTATTTTGAGGTTTAATATGGTTTGCATTACTCATGGGTATGTGTTTGTTTTGCTGCATCTTTTAAAAAATAATAATTTTCCCTCTGGTGCCTCTGATGCGGAAGAACTGAAGATGAGTACCTTTGTTCTTTGTTGGATTATTTGCATCTCTGTTCGAAAAATACTGTTATGATTGTATTTCTATTTGAATGCTAATTTTTTTTTATTCTCATGCATATATTTGTACTTTCCTAATTTGTTAATTACAATTTATTTATGGAGTTTTAGTTTGTCCTTTAACATGACCAGAAAAACTTTCCTATACACACAATATTTTGTGGGGCCCATACTTTTTATGGCACGCAAAACGAATCTCTATAACATTACACAATCACTTTTCCTACAACATAACTCTTGTAAAACTCATTATTTATTTAAAGTAAGAATTATGAAACATACGTGAGCATTTTTTTTTTCCTTTTATGCTGGGTTTGAGCGTTTTTTCCTTATGTTGGGTTTGCCGTATATTTCCTTAAGGGTAATATGTAGGTTTTTTTTTTAATTGATAAACTTAGTATTACTTTTGCTTGAAATTATTTAGATTATTATGTGACATTTGAATGAACAGTCATATCATCCTAATATAATAGTCTCTACCATCTAAGTATCAAAAGATATTTGAAAAATAAAAATTATATATTCTTCAACTCCTCTTGAAGTGGCCGTGAATGCTTGAAAATCATTATTGGGTATTTGAAAATTATATATTCTAGTTGTTGCACATGCAATGAATGTTAAAATCTTGTATGACTATTACCATAAATGTTAATATTTTTCTTATTTTTATTGTGTTTTGATTCTTGATTAGTAATCATTTTCCTTTTATTTAAACTTGAATACCATCATGAGTTGTAATAGTCATGAATTTTTGTGAATTGACATCTGATCGGAACAGATAATTATAACTGGGTCGATCATGTGATTTTCCTCTACACAAAGGCCTGGAACCTCCTTGGGTCAGAGCATCTTGCAGTTTGGAGTTTGGAGCAGCTTTAACCCATGGGTCTTCTATGGAATGCGATGGGGGGTGTACCTACAAAACACTCTGACGCTCAAGTCAGTTATGGTTCAAGCAGGTTTAATTATGTAGGAGAAGATACATACCTTAGTGTTAATAGGTATGTATTTATAGTGGAGAGATGAGCAGCTTGGGGAGATGTTACTTAGTGATCAGGTTTGCTTTTGTCTTGGAGGCAAAGTAATAGAGCTGCCATGTTTAATGTTGAGGAGCTTTGATGAGATAAGGCCATTAATATTATGCAGCTTGATGGCTGTCATGGGCGTCGGAGTGTTTTGCAGGTACACCCTCCATCGCATTCCATAGAAGACCCATGGGTTAAAGCTGCTCCAAACTCCAAACTGCAAGATGCTCTGACCCAAGGAGGTTTAATTATGTAGGAGAAGATACATACCTTAGTGTTAATAGGTATGTATTTATAGTGGAGAGATGAGCAGCTTGGGGAGATGTTACTTAGTAATCAGGTTTGCTTTTGTCTTGTAGGCAAAGTAATAGAGCTGCCATGTTTAATGTTGAGGAGCTTTGATGAGATAAGGCCATTAATATTATGCAGCTTGATGGCTGTCATGGTGCTTTTAATATTATGGAGCTTGCAGCCTTCTTGGACTAAGGCTTTGCTTCATTGTGAAGGCTTTAATTCTGGGCCTTGTATTTGTATAGTATTTATCCATATCAGAAGCCCCCCAGCTCGTTGCTTATGCCGAAGGTATGAGGAGCGAGATGTAAAAATTAATTGCGGTTGTTCCTTTATCTGGGACTATGCTCCGTACTTTGTATGGATACTTGAGAGCTTCATATTTGTATCCTGCAGTTTTATACAGTTTATAATTCATAATGCATATATTTTGCGTACCTTTGTTATTGGCATGTTGTCGAGATGTAATGATGTATGCCAGATGTATCGCGCTTTTAGGAAGGAGTTTGACCCTAGGTGGGGTTCATCCTGCCTTGTATCGCGCTTGATTATGGAGGATCGCGATAAGACTTTAAGGATCGCGAAGTGAATAGTTCTGATCCGTTGAAAGGATCCTTGAGAGGAGTCCTATTGCTTGGAGGATTCGTGAGAGAATCCTTTTATCTGATAGGATCCATGGGAGGATTCCTGTTATTTGGAGGATTCGTGAGAGAATCCTTTTAGCTGATAGGATCCATGGGAGGTATCCTGTGAATTGGAGGATTCGTGAAAGAATCCTGTTACTTGATAGGATCCATGAGAGGTATCCTGTGAAATGGAGGATTCGTGAGAGAATCCTGTTACTTGATAGGATCCATGAGAGGTATCCTGTGAAATGGAGGATTCGTGAGAGAATCCTGTTACTTGATAGGATCCAAGAGAGCCATGAGAGGTATCCTGTGAAATGGAGGATTCATGAGAGAATCCTGTTACTTGACAGGATCCATGAGAGGTATCTTGTTAATTGGAGGATTCGTGAGAGAATCTTGGAGGATTCGTGAGAGAATCCTGTTTGTTGATAGGATCCATGAGAGAATCCTGTTTGTTGATAGGATCCATGAGAGGAATCCTGTTACTTGGAGGATTCGTGGGAGAACCCTGTTATTTGATAGGATCCGTGAGAGGAGCCCTGTTACTTGGAGGATTCGTGGAGAACCCTGTTATTTGATAGGATCCGTGAGAGGAGTCCTGTCACTTGGAGGATTCGTGAGAGAATCCTGTGTGTTGATAGGATCCATGAGGGGAATCCTGTTACTTGAAGGATTCGTGAGAGAATCCTGTTTGTTGATAGGATCCAAGAGAGGAATCCTGTTACTTGAAGGATTCGTGAGAGAATCCTGTTTGTTGATAGGATCCGTGAGAGGAATCCTATTACTTGAAGGATTCGTGAGAGAATCCTGTTTGTTGATAGGATCCGAGAGAAGAGTCATGTTACTTGGAGGATCCGTGAGAGAATCCTGTTACTTGATAGGATCCATGAGAGCCATGAGAGGTATCCTGTGAAATGGAGGATTCGTGAGAGAATCCTGTTACTTGATAGGATCCATGAGAGATATCTTGTTAATTGGAGGATTCGTGAGAGAATCTTGGAGGATTCGTGAGAGAATCTTGGAGGATTCGTGAGAGAATCCTGTTTGTTGATAGGATCCATGAGAGGAATCCTGTTACTTGGAGGATTTGTGGGAGAACCCTGTTATTTGATAGGATCCGTGAGAGGAGCCCTGTTACTTGGAGGATTCGTGGAGAACCCTGTTATTTGATAGGATCCGTGAGAGGAGTCCTGTTACTTGGAGGATTCGTGAGAGAATCCTGTGTGTTGATAGGATCCATGAGGGGAATCCTGTTACTTGAAGGATTCGTGAGAGAATCCTGTTTGTTGATAGGATCCATGAGAGGAATCCTGTTACTTGAAGG